TTAAATAAAACGTAACAAAGTTCAACACTTGACAAGGACATATTTCTAAAAACCTGTTAAGATGCTTGAGAATCCTGTCTTAATATCTGTAACTTTCACATCTCTAACATCAGTCCTAGAATGTTGTGATTCACAAATAGTTATTATAGTAGAATAGTTATCATAATTCTAAAGAGCTTCTCAGCTAAGCATTAGTAGAAACGGGTACAAATGCAAAGAGGAAGGACAGAGTTTGTGTCCATGGATACTTCCAAGGACGTTTTGTTCTGGTATATGCCACAAGTACAAAGAAATGTTGTCCAGTTCAAACTGCATTAAAACTGGATCTTTGATCACAGCTCTGTGTCTCATCTACATAACCTATGCAAATTTGTCATTTTTCTTTCACTTTGAATCACAGAGTGTGTGACATTTAAGTCCAGCCTGATAAGATGGCTGACTGTTTGACCTTCATGTAATGGTCTGCATCAGCTCTGAGTGTGTGTGCATTTGTGTGAATGCGAGTGTGTGCGCATTATGTGTGTGTTCTAATTAGATGTGAACCTGGGAAGAATAAGTTGACAGTGACAGGAAAATGAATGATGCTGGTCGTGATTCTATTTGTCACCGTGGTGTTGATCTGACAAAAACGCCTGCACTTCTGCTGACTGGACAAATGCATACTGTAGCACAGGCATCAAGGTCTTATGGGTAGTTACACGTTCCGTCCTGTCAAGCTGCTGGTAAATTTGCCAATACACATGATGAGATAAAATTGTCTCGTAGCGTTGGCCAGGAGGGCCTTCCATACAGAATCTATATTGGGATCATAAATGAAATATTAAATCACCCACATAAGACCACCACTGAGGACATGAAGCTATTTGGGCTCTAATGATTCATAAAATCCACAGATGGACTTGATGTATTACAACAGCATCCTACTTTTTCATATATTTTCATGACTTTCAAAACAGGAAGGGCCAGGCAGCAGCTGAACTCAACACTTTCAAAACAGGAAGGGCCAGGCAGCATCTGAACTTAACACAACTCACAATGTTTAACATCTTAATGTAAATCACTGAGTAAAAAGTCTTTGTCTGTGTTGATTCCTGCACAATAACAGAAACGCTGGACACAACATATACAGAGAAACAGTCAGTCACACATCAAATCAAAACTACATTCAAAACTGCAGCACCTGTGTGAAACCTATGTACACACAGGAAGATCATGCAAACACCAGACTGAAAAACTGAGGCTTGAACCCGTGAACTGTTGTTCAAACATCTTCAAACCTGTGTAATTATTTCGTTTGAACAGAAACGACAATTCATTTTCTCATTGGTTGAGCTAATAATCCAAGTGGCGTGACAGTTCCTAAACTAAACAAGCTGTTATTAATATTTAACAATTCAAGAATCCGTAATCACTCACGTCATAAAAATACTTATCACAAGAAATTAGCCACAGCTGCAGTTTACACACGATAAACTGCCTCACTCCTTAATGTCATCTGTTTCCACAAACAGATATAAAATAGGTTTCTGTTTAGAGAACAAGACCAAACTCATTTAGAGAGGCTAAAACCTAAAGATGGATTTCTTTCATAAAGTTAGAGCTGAGACAGCGTCTGTGCCCTAAGTCTGAAGAATGGGAATCCATCTATACCCATCTGAGATCATAGATCACGGTAAATGAACAGCAGCGACTGTGTCGAAATCTCACTACAGACTTTGGTATGAATACCAATGAAAGGCCACCTGCACACTGTGTTCATTATATCAGCCCATTGTCTGGAGGTTTAAATCCAATTCAACTTCTATTGACAGAAAGAGCAGTGTTGTGTTTGACCAGGTGACAAAAAAAAAAAAACTATAAATGAAAGACTAGTTTAATGTAAGTTTAGGCAAATTAATTATATTTCATCACATTTTATGGGAATTAAAATGTTTAAACAAGCACTGAAGAAATCGAATCCTCCACTATTAGATCAGAGTTGATTTTTTTTACCTTTTTAGACAACAGTTCAATTAGGAAAATTAAAATGAGGTAATTTCCCAAAGAACGTAGACACCAAAACATTCCAAACTGCTAACGAGGTCTTGATCATATCAGGTATGCTCCTGCACAAGAAGGAAATACACTTAGTATGAAAATAAATATGATGTAAAATAAGAAGGTATTTTTAAACTGAGCAAAACACCTGTTATATCTAAAGTTAAATACAAGAACTGGCTGCAGTGGTGGGAAACATCAACACCGTGTGGACAATTAGCCCGTCACCGTGGTGCAGGAAGATGGCGTCTGGAAAATTCCAAAGCTCTACATTAACATTAACCAAGACCTACATCACATTGTTGAGAACTCTGAGAGCCACTGCACACTGGCCTGATTGGGCTGTGATAAAATGTCTTCGTTATCAACATCAAATCAACAGAGCCCTCATAGACAATCTCAGCTGTAATTAAAATGGACTGAAGCCAAAAACACAGAGGACAACCAAACAGACAGAAGCACCTTCACCAACACTCCTTAAAAATTACAACCTAAGAGAAATGGTACAGCTGCAGAGAGAACAACACCAGACATGTTGTAATTATTATTATTATTATGATAAATAATGGCAAAAGCAATTATTTTCAGTATATTACGGGAAAGAAGCTAAAGGCAATTAGCTGGCAGATCATGTGTTTCACCAATGTAAACCATGGAATTATTAATATCAAGGAAAAATATCACGGAATACTTCAACCTGCAGTGTGTGCAAATAAAATGGAATGTGGAGTGTGTGTTCAGTCAGATCATTTTCGCACACATTAAAATAATATCATATTTCTAAGCAAAGTTAAACGCTTGTGATATTGCTAACTAAAAACTGGGACGTTCAGCTGGATCTTTTAGCTGCACTAAACCTGATCAAAGCTGGAGCTGCTAAAAGTCAATTTTACCCTGAAGTGATAACAATTGAACACTCGAACTGGTCGAAAAAAAATCAAGTAACACCTGTGTTTAGCAGGATTGTTTTGATTAAAGCTATCATCCGACAATTGTGGACATGGAACAAGTACAAAAACCCCTCTCCGTCCAAACTGAACGTTAAAGTTGTAGTACACAGGGGCAGGGGATGTGTAATTCAAAGCAGAGGCACATCTATACCTAGGAGGTCTTTCTGCCTAAATGAAAAACAGACAGGACTGATTAACCTAACAATTGACCTTTCCATTTCATCCATATTTACTAGTTCACTCAGCAGCACTAACACACTCAAGTTAAAACAACAAATTACCCCAAGGAAAAGATGAACCCCACCCCCACCCCCCTGTGGTAGCCGAGGCCATTTTTAGGCCATGTCTGTTTCCACTTTGCCCATTGCGGGGTTGCCCTATAAAACACTGGTGTAAATGGTTTATAATGCCACCAGTGGACTCTGAAATGAGAGACCTGGTTTCAATCAGCAGTCAAATTGCTTCTACATTACCCTTGCAGACGGAGTAGTAAATCACTTTTTGCCTGTGTGCTGCTGACGTAAACGAACAGGCATTGTTAAAAGTCCACCAAGCGTGCTACTAAGAGCAGCCAGTCTGAATGTGGGGATGGTAAACAGGACAATAACAGTTGCCCCAGACCCTGGAGGTGAAACTGTGAAACACCCTGATGTCTAAGCAGAATTCCAGCATATTTTGCACTCCTCCTCGTACAATCTTCACTGACATGCAGCCCTGAAGAAAAACCTACATCTAAAAGCCTGAGTCGTACAAACCCCGTGCCAAAGAGCCCCATCAAACCAGTTTGAACCAGTTTGCCTAGTTAAAAAGAGTTCTGGTTTCTCCGTGCCAACGCCCTGACAGTGGGCCAGTGTTGGGCATCTCAGAGCACTTATAATTCCCTATAAATTCAAGAAACGTTGATCCCGCCCACCACAGACCAACACACTACGGGCAGAACCTTTCATTAGGACTCCAGGGCCCTGAAATTACAACAATTTCCCCCATATGGAAAGCATGAGAAAGCCTGAGTTTGGAAGAGACCTGTGCCAAGTGGTTTCTGCAGCGTGTGGCCACAACGGAGCTGGAACCCTTTTAAAAATGCCATTCAGCTACCAATGGTTCCAGGGAGCGCTGACAAATGAAGAAACTGAGACAGATGCTCTGGCTTCTGGTACTGGACCAGACCCTAATAGGAAATATCCAATACTACATGACAAATTACAGACAGTCCAAGGGTGTAGAGGGTCGTCTAACAGAAGAAAAAAAACAGCTTTAAATAAAAATAAAACCATTTTGGTTTGTTATTGGAATCTCTTAATTAATTGGCATCCGGTAAAGCAACATAAACATAGTTTAACTCTTTCTGATATTTCTGATGTGGCGCTTTGGCCCAGAGGCAATGTCTCTGTCATTGGTGTGGAACCCCAGGGTTCACCTCCTGGGCAAGTTCGAATCCCGGTTAGGGCGGTTAACAGCTTCCAGTGGACTCACCACCCGCAGGAAGGTTTGGGGTGCAATGTGATTTTGGCTGCTGCCCCGGTAACGGATAAATGGATGGATATTTTTAATTTTACTGATACACAAAGTACTCCTTGAACACATACCAATGTGAAACACACGAAGAACTGCAGCATAGAAGCCAATACGAACAGAAGCATCAGTTTAAAGGACGACTGATGAGGAACTGGCGAGGAACAGAAGACAAAGACGCCACTAATCCATTGAGGGTCAACCATTCATGCCTTGGGACTTAAGGGGATTAGGTCAAGTGCATCAAATGCCTTCTTGAGAATTACTCCAAAATAGTTCGAGTACAGCAGGCTGTATAGAGGCTGGGCAAAATGTTCAAAAAAATAATCTGAAACATAAACATGACTGTGCAGCGTTTGAGAACAATCATTCAGACAAATTAGATCAAACACTGAGAAAATCCAGAATCTCACTATTATATTTGTCCTACAAACTGGTTCACTGCTTATTTCGTTGTCATATTATTATGCTGTCAATAAATATTATTACTACATGCAGTAGTAGTTGTCGTTGTAGCCGTGTTACACAAATTGGAATGATACAGAGAAGATTAGCATGGCCACTGGATGACACGAACATTTTGAGAAGCGTTCCTCATTGGCTGTAATTTCCCATCTTGGGATCAATAAAGTATATCTATCTGGTTAGTAAAATATGTGGGTAAATATCTTGCCATTTTATGCATTTCCATTTGTTTTCTAAAAACAGGACACTTTTTCCCATCCTAGTGAGTAATGCATTTTGGATATTAACATTTTTTCTAACTTTTCATACAGGCTGATTTACATCTACAGCCCTGAACCAGGGCCTGTCACTGACACTGACAGCTACAGACCAAACACCAACAGTTCTGCATTTCTATGCAGAAACATATCTGATGCAATTAGAAGAAACTAACACAACCTGGTGAGACTCTTTCAGTTTGGCCTGTGGTCAGGCCATATCAACGTGCCTGTGACAGCTATAATCCAATTTGTTCATTGATGAAGGACGGCCATGGGGCTGGTCCAGCCTGTCAATCACCATGCAAAACTGCTGCCAGTCTGCCTTCAAATAAACACCAGCAGGGCTGCGGGCTTGATGCAACGCTGCAAAAACTCTTCCTCTGAACCCAGTCTTCATCCTCCGTCACCTAGTCTGAACAGATCCATACATCAACAGGGAATATGGATTATTTATCACACGATAACACACGGGTGAAACCCTGTCACGTCAACTGCTTCACCGAGGAGTTCTGTGGTCGCTGATTATCAAAATGTCTGCTTGTTTTTGCTTGGCTGCAGGGGGCAAAGTCATGACATCAAACCTGTCTCTGCAGTCCTGTGTGCTGCTGCTGCTGCTGCTGCTGCAGCTGTGGTGGCGGTGACGGTGGTTTTCCGAGGACAGATGAATGACACATACATCACAGCAGCTCCAGCAGCTGATGGACACACAACACCTTAAATACCTGTCTCTCTTTAGTACTGATAAATAAAGAAACAGCATCCATTTCACATTTGCCCCCCCATCCCACCCCCTCAGGGGCACTTGGACACAGAAACATGCCTCACCTGCACATGAAGTGATAACTAGGTTTGTAATGAAAGGATGGCAGAGGTGGAGGAGGCGAGGAGGAGTGGGGGGTGAATTTGTATTTTATGGTAAATTATTTTCAACAGAAGGTCAAGGATGGGAGCAAATGATGACATCAAAACAGAGAAACAGAACCCTGTGAAGGGCAAAGTCATGCTCCACAGATCTACACTGATCTACTGTTCAATAATTCAACTGTGATTCATCTCCACAGATTTCCTGCCTGATTGGAGCTCGAAGCTGCAGCTCTGTCAACTTCTGAGCGTCAGCGCAAAAAAAAAAAAATGTCTGGACGTTAAACCCCACATGAGGATGAAGTAACGGAGAACAGTGTCGCCCCCTGTTCGTCCGTGCCCCTGGAGGTACGTGCGACAGTAACGGAAGGCTGAATGCACCTTGTGCGGCAGAGTTATTGCCACAATAAAAGTTGGTACATACGCAATTCACAACTGACGCAAATGCAGACTGGGTCCGTTAAAGGCGGATTCACAACTTACACCGGATCTCACCTTTTCTCCTGGAGCACATTTTCACCGTCTTCCCCTGCTCGCACTGTCAGCAAAACATTCACATACAATGCACAAAGTTCCGTTAAAAAAACCCAAACAAAGATGGTATTTTCACAAACAAAAATCAACTGGAAGAATGCATTGAAGACAAACAACGGTGCACTCACTCAGTCTCCTCTTTGTCACCGCCGTGGGCATTTCTCTCCCTGCACGAACCGCTACACCGTTTAGTCCCGTCCCCAAAAATCCACTTAGTGTGATCCACAGACAGCAGACGCACGCCTTA